TTTAATTAAAAGTATCCATAAAATTTCTTAAAGCTAAACAAATAAGACAATTGATTTGTAGAAACGGTGACAAATAAAAAACAAATTAATAAAATAAATTATATAAGAATGTATAACACTATTCTATTTAATTATATATTATTAAAAATCAACACAAATGCCATTTACACTGAATGTCTCTAAATTTCAAAGATCTAATGTCTTTATTTTAGGTACACTCTTTATTGTATGCCAGAAACCCAATTTCACAAAAGATGTCATTATTGCTACTTTTAAGGCATTAAATGAATATTTGATATTTGCGTATATTTCGCTTCTAGGCTTTCCTTTTTCAATCATGCCGTTGTACCATTCGATAGCTTGCGATGGAGTTGGCTGTATTGGTCTACAGTTATTATTCATATAATCTCGAACAATATTATATAATTCATCAAGTTTTTTGTCCATAAAATTGTCATTCTTGTCGTATGATGAAGTTAAATAATGTACTATGAATGCGAATGCATCAATGTTATTTTTAAGTTCTATATCAGTGTAATTTGAAAAAGAAGAAAATGCAGCCGGCCAATCTTCAATAAAATTTGTGAAAGAATCAAATTCCATTATTAGTTGTTTTTTACATTTTTTTTTTTCTGCTGTATGTCTTTTACATTCTATCCATAATACTCTTAAAAAATCTGTGTATCCTTCTAACATCTTATAGATATTACAGCTCAAGAACAAATAAAACTGTCTGACTTTATCGTTTTTATTTTCAGATGTAACAAAATCTTTTGTTCCAAATCCATCAAGCAATTGGTCCATGGTAATTTCTCCATTATTTCCGTCATTAATATGCAAGCCGTTTCTAAATTCTTTCCAATGTGAGTATTTAAAAAAATTTTCTAATTCACATACTATATAATTAAAATTTACCATTGAGGCACACTTTTTTGAATGCAGGAAATCAAGATTCAACAAAATAGTTATAAGGGATATTTTTGTTTGATCAAGATGAGGTTTGACTATCAAAAATATTTCGCTGATGGGTCTATTTTCAATTTGCCTGTGGTACTGTTCGATTATCAACGAAGGAGTTGGCTGTTTTGGTCCACAATTATTATTCATAAAATCTCGAACATTATTATCTAATTCATCAAATTTTTCATCTAAATCTTTGTCACTATGTTTCTTTGATGAAGCTAAATAATACACTATGTCAACATAAGAATTTATGTTATTTTTAAGTTCCATATCAGTGTAATTTGAAAAAGAAGAAAATGCAGCCGGACAATCTGCAATGAAGTTTGTAAAAGCAATAAATTCTCTTATTATTAAATGCTTACAACCTATTTTTGTGTCAGGATATTTTTTACATTCTGTCCATAATATTTTTACATAGTCTGTATATTCTCTTAGTGTCGTAGAAAGATTGCAGCTTAAAAACAAATAAAACTGTCTCGCTTTATCGTTCACATTTTCTGATGTAACAAAATCACTTCTAGTAATTCCATTTCGCAATTGGTCCAAGGTGATTTCTCCATGTCTTCCATCAATAATATGTAAATTTTGTCGTATTTTTAGCCAAATAGGGTTTTTTAAAAATAAGTTTAATTTAGAAACTTTATCTGTGGAATTTACAAAGTCAAAATTGAGAGTAATGCAAATCAAACCAAATGAAAATAAATAATTATTATACATTTTCAAATATTAAATTTTATCGATGTGAAATACAAATGACGTTAATAATATTTTCACTTACGATTGCTTCAATATATACAAACTATGTTATTTACATAAAAAAACGTTGACAGAAATTATTTTTAAATTTTATTTTTCAGTTAAGTAAATTTAAAGTGTGATGTTATATTACTTATAACTTATTTATAGCTTTTATTTTTTTTAGAATAATTTCATTAATTTAGTATGGTCCTATTATCATTTAAGACTTTATAATAATAAAATTTTTTTTTTTTATTTTAATGTTAAAAATAGTCTTCAGATAAAAGTTTTATTTAGTATCATGAAGTATTTTTGAGTTTATCAAATTATCGTAAACAGACAACTGCTTGAAATTATATAGTTTCTATAAAACTTCAACCAAGAGATGTGTATAATTTTATTTTAATAATGCGATCGTAAGGAGTGTTCAATCAAAATTTTATGGGAGCTCTCTCAATGGTAGCTTATGCACATGATCGTTATCTCACACCGCACAAACCAACAATTATTATAAACAGTTATTATTATATGCATTTGACTAGAATGATTCTATAGTTAGTCGGAATGAATAATGATGTAGATTTACGTAATTAAAAATAAAAATCTTGTGCGGTTTGGTTGGGTTCGGGTTGGGTGTGGTCACACAAACCAACATTTTTTTTTTTGTGTGTCTGTCATTACTTTTACCATCTTTGACTGGACCATTTTTTCTCAATGAGACGTCAAAACATCACAAATCGTATCTAATTGAAGACATTACCATCAAAAATTACATTTTTTAAAATCTGTAAATTTCGACATTTTTTACACTTTTTTCTGAAAGTTGCCATAACTTATCGACAAATGAACAATTAAAATAATTTGTTTTTATATTGAAACTGTAAGTAATTCCCTTTAATTTGATATAATAATTTGAAAATCTGACCCCACTTGCCCACAAGAAGGGATTCAAAATAGCAACTATTTTACTAATCTCAACTTTTTCAACTTAACTTTTGAAAATGTTCCAGAAATATAGCGTCCTTTAAACATATGTGAAATTAAAGCTTATCTTATTTATAATAAATTTAAAAAAAAATTGTCCTGACGGCATATTTTCTACGTGCAAACGTTTGCCGTAGTTAAAAAAATGCTATTTTTGTGTTAAAATTTTCAATTTTCAACTTTAATTTGCTACAAATTTTTAAAATATGTATGTACCAATACACATTTTTTTTCCCTAAATACGTTATGTGTATACCTTTCATCCGATATACTTTTTTTATAAATCGAGAAATTTCCCCTTATACAAGAGGCGTTTAAAACTATAAACATACGTATAAAAACTAGAATTTAACAATTTTATATTAACTTTATGTTTTCATTCAAAGTGTTTTACAAAATATTACTATGAATAGCTTATAAAATATATAAAATAAGCACATATTTTACGTATATTACAATAACATCATATTTATAATTACGTTAGACTCTGTCCCAAAATCACGAACCTGCATACGTTCACATCGTCCATAAAGTTAAGTCACCGATTTGGATAAATGTTTTTATTTAGCTCAATACAGCTTAGAGTAGTATAATTTGAATTTTTTGTAGTAAATAAAAATTTTTTTCAAAGAGTGTGTTATTGGCAAAAATGTTGTGATTACTCTTTCAATGGTTCAGTAAAAACTTTTTATAGAACATATTTTTATAAAAAAAATAAAGGCAATGTGAAAGTAATATCTAATAATTATCATTATTTCAAGTGAAATAGTTTATAATAAAGGTTTCGGTTATAAAATAAGGTAAATATTTAAGTATTAAAATGTGTTAAATTCGAATAAAATAACAAAATATATTGGATATAAGGTTGATATATATTGGCTGATGTTTCATAGTAATTTAATAATATTTTAATTTATCATTTTTTTTTATATATATAAAATACATGTATCATAAAAAACAAAATTAACAAACCAATATATTTTTAAGTTTATATAGATCAATCAGTCACCGTATTAGCACTGATATTTATTTGCGCTGTTTACGGTTCCCGGATGGGTGACCATACGGGAATAGTGACACATGCATTGCCCGATACTGGCTCCCTAAACCATAATAATATTGCCTCAGGTCGACAGCTAAAAATCCTATTAAATCACTAATATAGAGCCGTCCCTAAATAGTTGGGATAAACTCTCAGGAGATCATGATGATGTATTTTTTATGCCTAATGTATTGGTATCATTAGATTTAATCGTATGTCATTTGGATACTCAGTTATTTAACTAATGCAAAAAAAGTAAAAATATATTGCAAATTTCCGATTGGTACTCAATTTGTATTTAAAATAAAAAGCAACTAAACCATTAAACAGTGGCGGATTTACGGGGGGGGGTCTAGGGGTCTGGACCCTTCCCAGAAGCTTATTTATATAGAATTTATAAAGGTATACAATGTTTTTGTATTTTATATTTCGTGCGTGGAACAAATTTCTACATGTGTCAGATTTGTTAATTTAAATAAACTTGTAATTTTTGAAGAGTTCTTATAATTTGTACCGGCTCGCGATACAACTGGAAAAGGTTTGGCAAACTAAATATTAGAAAGTCTCAAACAATTTGGTGTAGAACTTAAATTCCTGCGCGGACAAGGATATGACGGTGCTTCGGCTGTGTCGGGAATCTATAACGGTGTTCAATCTCACATAAGACAAATTTATCTGTCTGCGATTTATGTTCATTGTTCTGGACATATTTTAAACCTTGTTATTTCCAAGTTATGTAGTGTACGACCAATTACGAATTGCTTAAGTCTTATAAGCGAAATTCGACATTTTTTCATTTACCCTAAACGAAAAAATGTTTTATCACAAAAAATTTTAGATTCTTCACATGACACAACAAAAAAAACACTAAAGCGTAGTTGTGCAACAAGGTGGATTGAACGATATCACTCGGTACATGATTTTTTAGAACTTTTTGAATTTGTTATAGAGCCTTTCGGTGAAATATCAAAGTGGAATGATAATGATACAAGTGGAAAAGCACAACGCTTACAAAAATCAATGTTACATGGAGAATTTATTATTGCATTATTTATATTATCTAAAGGTTTTGGATTTGGTTTACCATCATCAAAACATTTGCAAAAAGTTGATATTGATTTAAAAGTAGCGACTAGATTAGCTGATGAAACTTTAGAAGACATTAAAAGTTTCAGAAATAACGCTGAAAAAACATTTCAACAAATATATAGAGTTATTCCTGGACTTATAGGAAGACAAGTGCATAGAATTAATATTCAAACAAAATCTACAGAAGAATACTACCGTACATCTATATTTATTCCGTACATGGATTCTTATGTAACTGAACTTGAACAAAGATTTGCCAATCATAAGATTAAGTTTAATAATTTTCAGTCATTGTTTGATTCAGAAGAAAATGAAGACAAATTTATTCAATTGGACGACAACTACAAAGATGATCTGGAGTTCATTAATCATTCGATATTATCTACTGAATACAATTTATGGCAAAGAATATTAAAAAACATGGAAAAAAAACCCGAAAATGCTTTACAAGCTATGATAGTCTGCAACAAAGAAATGTATCCAAGTGTCTTTAAACTTCTTCAAATCCTAGCTACTTTACCAGTCTCTACTGCATCGAATGAGCGCACTTTTTCTAATCTGAAGCGAAACAAAACATATTTAAGAAATACTATGACTGAGTTAAAAATAAATGATTCATTAAATTAAAAAATTAATTTTACATAAAATAAATTTAAAAGTATTTTAATTTTAATTTTAGGCTAGGCTAAACGGCTTAGCTATAATGTCAATCCATAAAGATGAAAATTATTTTACAATTGAAGAAGTTTTAGCCAAACTCAGTAAAATAAAAAGAAGGCTTGATTTTGTTTTACAGTATATGTATTACTTATAATTGAAAATAAAAATGAAAATACAGTTTACATTTGTTATTATTTAAATAAATTTAATACTTATTTATTATTTATATTATTTTTCAGGACTCCCCCTCAGTAAAATGTTGAAAATCCGCCACTGCCATTAAATATTTAACATACGTAAAATTGAATTACACTTAAATTTATTTCAAATGTGTACACAATTGGTATAAGCCTCAACAAATTTTTTATTTCTATAAACTGTATTAAAAAACTAATACAAATTAAATTGAAATTTTCACAAATTTTCAACTTTACATATTTCAACTAAAAATAAAAATATAAAAAAATATAGTAAACATATTTTTATCATTGATATATACACTATGTACTGTACATAATGTACATATGTTTGGTTGCGCGTATATAGGCATATCTCACTATGTTAAAACTCTTTGACAGCAAAAGTGCAAATTTTCAATAAACAGAGCATAACAAATAAGACAGTCTCTACACGGCTACCGACTTGATCATTATCTCCGAATCATCGAGTGCGAAATTTTATCTGAGTGCAACATTCTGCTTTTCAACTACACGATTCTTACTAACTCGAAATAGTGTTCTATTTACGAAACCTTGCATCTATGAGTTTGAAGCAGCCATCGTCCAACTAACCGATTTTTTTAATATCAAACAATATACGGGGGATACATAGTCACCGATCGGAATGAATCGCGACTAAATTCCGATTAAAATCGGAACACAGCTCATTTATCACCCACTTACTATGCCGAAGGTTAAATGTAAGAATATGCGCGACGGATAAACTTTTCCGCCTCTTGTGCCAACAATTTCATCTTCTGAAATATAGCCATTTCATAAACAATTATAATTAAATTATTACTAATCAACGTTTTTGCTAAAATTTTATTTTTATTCTATTATTATTCATATTATAATAATTATTATAATTTATTATACTATTAATTATAATTATTTTTTTTTAAATTCGCTATTTTTACGATTCTTAACTTATAAAAAAATACAAAACGTTTATAAATTAATTATNACTTATAAAAAATACAAAACGTTTATAAATTAATTATAATGGTCTATTTTATTATTTTATTTTATGTACTTTAGATGCTAGCCGTTTAATAATTCACTCTTGCAGTTTGTCAATCATTATGCTTTTTTCCTGGTTGTATTTTCCTGGATGTCATTTTACCAATTACAGTTTTTGTTTGCAGGACACCATTCAAATCGGTCTCAACACCGCGCGACCTTGCTGATGCAGCGTATTGGCCAACGCGACATTTACAAAAGGTAGCCTACTGAAAATTAATATGTGATTCCTGACCTCTATTGTGACTACATTATGAGTGTAATTTTTATTATATTGGAATTTCTCTGCTTAGTCCGATTAATTTAATTATTTATTTACTTTTTTATTTTTATTACATGGCAACTATTAGTATTTTATCTCTGCGCCGCAAATTTATTATTTATATATTCTTTAAGATGTTTCATCAACTTAATGCATAACTTAATTTTAACACCACCAAATTAAAATTTTTTTTTTCTAAAATTATAAAATCTAATTAAAAATAAATAATCTATAAAAAAATTACAATAAATGCATAGTCTTAATAATTGCGCTTGTTTATAATACACCTTATACACTGTCGCCCACGGTGGTCACAGTAGTTCAGTAAATAACCAAAGAAGCAAATTAAAATACACAAGCATACTTAAACACGTAATTGTATACAAAAAATACTCTCATGAGATTCGTCCACGTTACAATCGTCTGACACTCACTTGTACAATGCTCATTTAATAAATGTTTTATATACAAAGTGATTTTTTTATCATAACCCACTCAATTACTTGCAAAATAATAATAATTTAAACATTTTTTTTTTATTATTATCTTTAGTTACACATTATTCTTGAATTTTTAACTATGTAATACTTTATAAGTTCATCCCTTATGCCTTGGAGGGGGGTCAACTTTGTTTTTTTAAATGGTAACACATATTTTTAATTTAATAAAATNAGAATTCCCTCGTTCGCTGGGAATGGGGGAAATATTCAAAAAAATTACAAATTTAAAAATCGCTAATTTTCGAAATTTTTTCACTTTTTTTCTTAAAACTTCCATAACTTTTTCAAAAATGAACAAATAAAAATAATATTTTTTTGTATTAAAACCTTAGATATTTACCTTTCATTTGANGCTTATTAGATATAAACATTTAAAGTTTCAAAATTTTGAGTTAATATACATGTATAATACACATAGGATTTTAAATACAGGTAGCTAATTGGATTTTTATGACATTGCTGTCTCAGTCACGGATTGTTTATTATCAAGTATGATTATCAATAGATATACTTTCTGTATTGTCAGTTAGTGTATTTATAAACTCATAACAATGTACTATACTACAATAATTATTGATAATAACAATGCTGTGTACCTGCTAATATCGATGTTGTAAAAAACCAATTAGCTACCTATATTTGTAATCCCTTGTGTATTATACCTGTATATTAATTCAAAAATTTGAAACTTTAAATGATTATATCTAATAAACGAATTAAGTTATATTAAAAATTCAAATGCCATTTACTATTAAATTAAAAACTCAAACATTTTATTAAATTAAAAATATGTGTTACCATTTAAAAAAACAAAGTTGACCCCCCTCCAAGGCATAAGGGATGAACTTAAAAAGTATTACATAGTTAAAAATTCAAGAATAATGTGTAACTAAAGATAATAAAAAAAAAAAATGTTTAAATTATTATTATTCTGCAAGTAATTGAGTGGGTTATGATAAAAAAATCACCCTGTATAGCGCCTAATTTAGTAGTAATAATACCTACACAATTGGTACATACACTTGTTAAAGCATATTATGTTAAATCGTAACGGTTCGAACTACANAGCGCCTTATTTAGTAGTAATAATACCTACACAATTGGTACATACACTTGTTAAAGCATATTATGTTAAATCGTAACGGTTCGAACTACAAACTCTCTATAAAAATATTAATACAATGATAAAGTTTTAGAACATCGGAAAAGGATTATCGGCAAAAAAAACAGTTGTTATTACAGCTACTCATCTAATAAACTTTATTTTATAAATGTTACTCTTAAGCTTACTAAATATATCCCGAATCGCAGCACAAGAATGCTACTTCAAAAACTCCCTCTTATATTGTTTATTTTTTCTAACGCGTATATAAACTGCACCAAGCATTTACAAATGAGATGGTTTTACAAATCAATGACCCATTTATTAAGATTTCATTACAATATATAAATATTTCGGAAATGAATATAAATTTTTGTTTGGAATAAAATAAAAAGATACACTTAAAAATTTTAATATAATATTATTAATTTTCTCATTGTATTACTTGTAATATCTGAAATAACATAGGTAAGTTTTTAATAAAACGTTATATTTATATACATGAAAATTGCATCTACTGTGGTTTTTTAAACAATTTTTTTTGTACTAACGAAAATATTTGAAATTAAATGAATTCATGCATTTAAATAAAATTACTTTTATTTTGGAAAATACAGTGATAAATTATGATATAAAATATACTTTAGGGCCGACAATGATGCTCGATAACTATTTTTTTCTGTAAAGAAATTTCTCATCAAAAAAATTATATAAGTAGGAAGAGGTCAGGAGCACTTACGAACATTTTTTTATACTTAAGTTAGTATACAGATATTTATTTGTATTTATTTTTATGTTTATAATACGCATTCAATAAATAGCTGCATAATACACATTTATTAAATAATTAGATAAAGAAATAAGCAACTTTTCATAACACATTTCGATAAATTTTAAAAAAATTAATGAAAAAGTGCCTTATTTCATATTTTTGGATGTAAAATCACTGTTTAATATTTGTCTTCTAACGTGAAAATTTAAGATATTTATAAAAACATCATACTATTGGGACTAATAATAAACGCAATGAATATTTATTTCCGCTTATCCAACAAACAAAAATATGTTTTAAGCTTAGTCATGTAGTCAANCGCTTATCCAACAAACAAAAATATGTTTTAAGCTTAGTCATGTAGTCAATTATAAATTAAAAACGCTTTAATTAAAAGAATTCATAAAATTTATTAAAGCTAAACAAATAAGACAATTGATTTGTAGTA